TCCTGATTGGGGAGAAAAAATTGCCAGAAAGATACAGAAGTGTACAGTGCAATACTATACAGCTCTATCAGAAGTAAGTCTCACTGAATTCAGTGGTGCTCACTTGCAGGCAGATAGCTATAGGGTCACAGCCTGAGGTTTGCATTCCATTCCAGCCCAGTGCTACCCATGAATATTCAGAGTCTGAATTCAGCTGAGCTTTCTCTCGAGTCAGCGGTTATAGGACTACAGTCGCAAAGTAGATTTGCCCATGCCTGCAAATGCAACACTGTGAATTATGCCTTTCCCCCTTTCCCCTAAGAAGTAATAGTTTAGAGCATGAGCAGTGGACACAGCTTTCAGCATCCTTTTTCCCTTTCTATATTATTATGGACATGCACACATAGGATAAATGCTCGTGTACCCATAGAGATGTTTGCGCTAGCTGATGTGAGTATATGGCTGTGTTAAGAGATGTACAGATCCCATTAAGTCCATCCCACCTGTGTTTTGCAGGTCATCAGACATCTTTCATTTTGCTGTCCCCTCAATTACACAATTAGGTCTTTTTTTAAACCAGAATTTCATTCTACCTGGGCAAAGGTGCATTAACATCATTGTGGACTTGCAGCGATGTGAATTATTGCAGACCTCCCCAAATGAAAAGGCCAGTCCGCTGTGGAATTTGCATGTCAGATTCAGAGATCTCTGACATGCAAATTCATGTAACTCTTTTGCGGATGCTGCTGACATTCCCATGCATCAACCTGCTTTCTGGCTGGCAGGTGAATGAAGGGCAGATGCACACCCCTCACCCCTGCATGGAAAAAAACATGGCACAAAATGAAACCTCAGGTAATTTTACATACAATCACTTCAAAACTGTAGAAGATTGATTTTTGATTTTGTTTTCTTTTTGATGTTTAACCTTTCCCACTTCCAAGGATTAGAACGCCATCCTGGGCAACTTTTCATTGCAACATTGGAAAGCGAAGTAGATCTACAGTATGATCCGTTTGGGAGAGCTGTCCCCGGCATGGTACGCTCCAAATGTGCTGGACTACAACTCTCAGCATCAACATGCTGCCCATAGGGATGATGGGAGTTGTAGTCCAGCAGATTTTTTGGGGAGCAGCAGGTAGGGGAAGGCTATCCTAGATTACAGCCTCTCCTGTATTTGTATCACCTGCACAGTAATAAACAGTGTTCCCAATTACTTGCTGTAAAAAAATTCCACCAAAAACTGATTCAGGGAACAGATTTAAGTACCCATTTCGAAGTATTCTTTCTGAAAACCAGAAACAAGCAGAGAAACAAAAAACAAAACAAATCAAAACAAAACATGTATTGGGTTTTTCTATTGTGGGAAGGTTGACACTAGGAGCTTTTTCTCCCAGCCAATGGAAAGTATTATGATGAAAAGTGACCCATAAACCAGAATTCAGTCTTCTCCTGCCATACCTGTACAGTAGTGTTGTTCCAGAAGCATTTTAGAACATCAAGATACATTTAAGCAGTGAAATATCCCTGAAACCATTTGTGTTTTCTGTTCATCAGTCATTAGCTGCCTATTAATTTAGAGCAGGGGAAAAGGCTGGATGAGCGGAAGGACCGGAAGATTTGTGGCAAAGCAAAATATACAGAGAAGTCCCTGCTCAAAATCTGAAAATGAAAACACAGAATACAGGATTCCTAATGCACTGGCTTTGCTTCAGAAATGAGAATGAATAATTCAGCACTCCAAAGTCTTGGGGGAAATTTGAAGGAGGAGAATTTCTGAAACATGCTTTATTCCCCTCCTGGGTGCATTATGCTCAACCAAGCAAAAATGGTGCCCTTGAGAAGTGGCAAATTGCATCCATGGTACCATTAGGGTAGGCCCTCTGGGGCAGATGTCATGGCCCAACTCGGTAAAGCGAGCAAGATCATTCCAAAATACAGAGGCTCCAATTCTACGTTCTACTATGCAAAGGGTGGGTGGGGAGCAGTAAGACTATTAAGCCCAGGGAATAAACTTAACTAATTGCATCACTGATTTCCATTTAGCTAAAGAGTCTGAGACTCCTGAACCTTTAACAAATGTGCAGAAGAGAGAAATAGGAATGTGAAGAAGGGGAAAGCTGCACTTGCCGAAGTTCTCTCTTCTATACAGGAGGCACCACAATCCTTTGGAAACATAAGCAGCTTTTAAAATTACCTTTCTCCAGAAGCAGAGGGAGAAGTCGCTAGCTTGGTGGGGACTGGTTGAAAAGCAACACCCAGTTAGTTCCATCTGTCTGGTCTCCATGCGGGGCACAGAGGAGGGGGAAGAGTGTCCACCGCTTCTTCGCCAGCCCCATCATTCACCTACGTGGAATTCCATATACGCACCTGCATGCAGCTCCTTCTAACCTATGGCCATCTGGCTAGTGCTTCAATGTAAGGTGGCATTCGTGCATCGTGTCCCTCCCTGCATTTTGTGTGCCATTTGAGGTTCACATGTTAGCATTGCTGGGGCAGAACTGACGGGCACTACTTCATTTGCTTGACTGTCAGCAGGTAGCGTTATTGCTGTACAAACCTCTCCTGAAACGAATGCCTGGTGTTACACAAAACAGGAGAGCCTAGAACTGTGGAAAAACGGCAAGAATGGGGCAGACTATCCAAATAAATACCCTGTTCGGTCACACAAGGGAAAGGTGCTAACCTTGACCTCTTCCTCCTGATCCTTCTCCTCCTATCTCATAAAAAGCCAATGGAATCAGACCAGCCTTCCAATGATCTCTTGTGAGAGGAGAGCAGAAGAATCGAGTTTGGCATTTTAAAGAGGAAAGAGATGTGTGAGAGAACTTCTGGGTTTTCCTCCTTGATCTGGCAGTGAAAAGCTGAGCCCAAGGTTCTTTCTGCCCTCACTCTGCTGCAGCTTATTTTGCTGCCACTGAAGAGCTGCCATAGCGTGTGAGGTAGTGATGATTGGTCCTGGCAGGAGGAGGAAGAGTCCCGGTGCCCAGAAGCATTGCAGGAAGCCTTGTGGTGAAAGCTGAGGCTGAGAAGAACCTGAAGTCTGGCTATCCCATCAACAGAGAGGAATCCCTCTAGAGGGGACGGAAGTGTGCGTGCATCTGGTAGAATCTGCTCTGTGTGTGCTTTGTAGATTGAGAGGTGTCTTGTTTTTCATTGTCTACCCACTGAACTGGATTCCCTGGAAAACTATGCAAAGACATCTTCTGCAATTTATGTAACATTTGCCAGTACATAACATTTTGCATATTTGTGTTAGAGTTACACAGTGGAGACTGAAGAGAGATTAAAGAGGGGTTTGTGTTTTCAAAATTGCTAGTATACTTCCCCCTAACTTTTGTTCTTTCATTCCATTAAATTTGTATAGAATTCCAGAAAGTTTAAAAAATGGACTGCAAGTCTGTGGAATCAGAGTGAGTTGGAAGATGCTAAATTTGCTGTGGAATATGTATGTTAAATTCACAGAAACCCAAGTCATTTGGATCAGTTTCAGACTTCCCTGACGTCCTTAGGCCCAACAGAAAAATACTGGATAGATGGACAGGAAGCAGGGTGTGTGTGTGTGTACGCACACACACGTGTGTTGGGGGAGAATCCAAGATTCACATAAATATGAACTGTGGCATGTGCACTGGGTGTAGCTGCAAAGATTTGGCTCACAGACCACTAGAATTTCAACCACCTTCCCTGCAAGCCATGCAGCTGTCTTACTAGCATGCCAGCTTCCAGGAGGTTAGTGGGATGTGGAAACAATAGTCCAACGGCATATATGGTTATATGAAGCGGCCTACACTAGGCAAAGTCCTGCACAACTGAGTGGTGGAGACCCTGCTTTGCAAGCAGAAGGATGCAGGTTCGAATCCTGGCAAATCCAGGCAGGGCTGAACACCCCCTACCTAAATCCCCATTGCCAATCAGCACCAAGACTACAGGGCTGGTTGCACCAAAGGACTGACGCAGTAGAATGCAACTTCCTGCGCTCCTATGACTAACTTGCACCATTGATCAGTTTAATCTTCTATGACCTACAGGAGCTCTTTGGGGGTCTCTGACAGGGAGACTGGAGAAGACCCAAATAGAGCATGTCTCCAATGACCTGATCTGACTTTTGAGCCCCTTCAGATCAGAGACGAATGGACAAAAACAGCCGTTCTTTGCACTGAAGAATTGCATCTTCTTGAACATTCCCACAGGGTATAGATGATGATAGGCAAATTTGGACCCCATTTTACAGATAGCACAACTAAGGCTAAGGGTCATGTTTGCCAGTATTCTGTGTGTGTGTGTGTGTGTGTGTGTGTGAACGGGGGTGGGGGAGAGACTGCCAAGGCTTTAGGCTCCAGACCAAAGTTCCCACCACAAGGCCATCCTGTCCTATTTCCCCACTAAGCAACCTTGTTACAGATGTGTCCACTGCTCCCCTTTAATATCCCACAAAATCTGGCACAGACCACATTTTTTAGGGAGGTGAGACATTCCCATCCCCCTCCAATTTTTCTCAGTAGGAAAGAAGCTCAAGCTGGCACTCCTTTTGGCAATACCTAGCTTGCAGTCCATCTACAAAGCAGTGTTTTTGGCAGTGAGTTAGCTGCGGTCTTCCTGACATCAGACGAGTCATTAATGGAGACACTCAGGAGAGGCAAGTGGAGCAAGGCATTGTGGGTATGTGGTGGCCTTCTCACCTTCCTCCCCCTCTCACCAACCCTGCATTCGCCATATTGAATTCTTCATGGATGGGGAGGGATAGGGGGACATCCACCTGTCTGTACCAGTAGAAAAAGAGTTCTTAGTTGGTCACAGGTGTTCTGGAATGGGCTGAGGAAGCACCGTCCCTTTAGGCTCTGCATAAGCCAGCTTGGTTCCAACCTTGCTGCCTGGGTTGCCCAGGTGAGCCGAATGGTTGAAAGGGACAGTTTGCAAGTAGAAGACTTCCTGGGAGGAACAGGTGGGAAATCTGGGCTCCTTGGTCGGGACGGGAAAGCCAAAGCTTTGAGGTTGTGGCCAGAGGAGGGAAGCCCTCTCTAGTAAACCCAGCTGACGGGGACCCACTGTGGTTCACTGTGCAACTTCTCCAAGGCCTCCTGCAGCTGCTGGAATGTCCGCTCCATGTTGTCGTTCACTAAGCAGAGGTCAAAATAATGCCCGTAGCCCCGCTGGATTCGGCAGCTCTCATCAACTGTCCGTTTCAGGTCAGCATCCTGGTAAGACATCCATGCCAGAGAGAGAGGGAGAGAGAGAGTCGTCAGACACTTAATCGGGGACCGTTGCTCAGGCCTGGATGTTTGACGCAAGCCAGGGAAGACAGAACTTTGGCAGTAAATGACAAAGAATCATCATGGTGCTGCTAGCGCCATTCCCAGATGTTTCTCTGTCATGCTCCATGTTGCTGTAATGGAAATGCAGAAGACATCTGCAATCTCCACTGCCCTTTCTTCCTTCACTTCTGCATCTCCTTTGGATCTGGGTTGCTTTTCAGAAATAAGGCCCTGCAGATTGTGGCAAGCAGCCGAGCTGACACCTGGGGATGGAACAACCAGGATGGTCCCAGGTGTCTGTTTTGGCCTTGTCACAATGGGGTGGTTGACCATAGAGGAAGGTAAATGCTAATCAAACATGCTTTCTTTATTCAAAGCAGCGAGTGCTTGATGACGGCTTTATACAGTATCCAAGCCCCAGCGTTAATTGCAGTTAGACCTGGGCAGAGACCTAAAGCCTGATGGTGCTGCATCCCGGAGGGGGTGGGGGTCTCTGCTGCTATTTCTCAGTGGGGCTCCCAGCAGCAGTAGGAATTTAGGCATTGCTGCCTCTTTAGCTCTTGCTTTATGCCTTGTACTCTAAAAGTGGAACGGTGCTGCCTGGTATAACTAAACACTGCCCTTTGCAGTGTAGTTTGAAAGGATTTTCTTTTGTGCCAGGCCTTATGGTTTAATAAACTCATTTTGCCTTCACTTGGTTGCTTAGCTTATTGCTTCTGAATCCTCTTAAAAAGAAAAGAACCATTGCTGTTTGGCAACACAGATGGGGCGCCATAAGGATGGGATAAAAATTCATTCTGTTCATGTTGTAAAAAGAACTTTCTAACCAATATGCAAACAGAAACTCAGTTTTCCTTCAAAATTTGCACTTCCCAAATTTCACAATGGAGGTTTCCAATCAAAACAGTGCATTCAAATATACATATATTAAGGGAAAGCACAGGCAAAATTCATGCACTTGTGAAAAGAATATTCAGAAAGGCAGTACAGTGGGAAAGTTGTTTGCAAAAAATTGTTTAAAAACATGAAGCAATTTGTTTTTAAATCACAGTTTTTCATGGAAACATAATTAATAACAAAAAAATCTCCAAGTCTGGGATGAACCACAATTAAAATTGCAACAAGTGGGAAATGAGAGAAAGCAAACATGAGAGATTCGGTTGGGTGAACCATTTTGAAGATGTTTTCTGGTGAAAGAGAATTTCTTCATCCTTTTCGTGGAGTTGAGGCTCACTATTTTCAGTGGCAAAAGAGCCAAATGTTCTTTTCTTTGTTTCCTTTCTTATTTGGGTGAGTGGAAAGTGATTGTTGCAAGCGGAAGCAGCGACTGCATTGGCAGGCTGGCCATCATTTTCCGTCCTCCATGATGTTTCAGAGCTAGCATTATTTCAGGCTGTGAAGTATGGTGGATAATATCCACCAGACACAAACTGATGGAAAATGCTAGTGGAACATTCGAAAGGAGATGGCTGGGGGCAAGGTATGGATACACGACACTGGAAAACTCTTTCTGTTGGAGTTTGACCGACGTGACACATTTCTGACCTGATACTCCAAAATGGGCTGAGGTGGGGTGGGGACTGTTTCGGCTCCAGTAAAATCACTCAAAATATTTACACAGCTTGAAACCAAGAACTGTGCACCTCTAGCTCAATTTGTGCAAATTGCAAACATTTGCACAAGTTGTGCAAACTGCTTGGGGCCCACAAGTTAGAAGCACATTATTGTAGTTCTTCTTGTTGATCTTGTTGCAGCATTCACCATGAGACATACAGAAGCATCCTCTTCTCAGAGATATGCATGGACTCCACTTTGGCCACCTTGAATTCTCTCACAATTAATTTTGGATTTGTGCAAAATTTGGCCTCGGCACTGCAATTTGCAAAGATTTGCTCAATTCATGCAGATTACACCAGTTGCAGAGCAGAATCCCAAATGTTATACTAATTTTCCCAGTTGCTTTTTCTTTGTTTGTTTGTTTGTTTTCTTTAGTTACGCAAATCACATCCTGTTTTAAAAATGGAAGACTGTCTGCATGCCCAGATCATATCAGATCAAGCAGGTGCCTGCCCTGGGTTGACGGAATGCCACCTGCTGGTAATTCATCAGATGTTTCACCCCGATGGATCCCAAGGGTAGGTTCCTATTTTCTCCAGTGTTTTGCAGGCAAGAACAGGACACTCACCGTGAGCTGCTTGGTGGCCACACCACTCTCCAACGCTGCCTTGTTCATGGCTCTCAGAGTCTCGAAATCTGGTGCTTCAATGAACACCACAAAGGGAACGAACTCGGCGGTCCTCAACACCTTCACGGCCTGCCCAGGCACACAAGTGACAGAGAACGAGAGACGGTCAGTCCTGCTCAGCATAAAACACCAATGCTGTGCCAGGTGCCGCGGAAAAGGTGAGCACATTCACACGGCTGCTGCTCGGCACGGCATGTGTGCCGATTGCTTTGCAATTCATCCTCAGCTGGGCTTGCTGTTCAGTTGCCGCTGAACGATCCGGCTGTAAAAGATTGTCGTGGCAACCTTGGACTGCTCGAAAGAAGCACAATCTATCAATCAAAAGTGCAGGGATGGCAGGGGGAGAAAGCAATACAAATGTGTGTGTGATAGTGGCAGCTGTGGGTGGGAAGCCGTCTTGTGGGAATCTTTAGCTATGTTCTGCCACAGTGGGCAAGAGACATCAGCGACTGGCCAGTCATTTTAAAGGCAAACATTTATTTATTGCACTTATATCCCACCCAACGGCTCTCTGGGAGGTTCACAAAACAGAAAACAGCAGCATAAGAGCATAAAACCATAGCAAAATTAAAACTAGCTGTTTAAACACATTATAAAACCCACTAAATATCAAATAGAAACAGGAACAGTGATAAAAGCAAGCAGTAAAAAGAACATAATAAAATTATGAATTATAATAAAAACAAGTGTTAAATAAAAAAAGGTCTTCACCTGGCAACAGAAATTGCGCCAGTCACATTTTAGACTTATGGAATGGTTTGCTACTCAGCATCAAAAGCAAAACTGCCATTCTCTTTTGCTCACCACCAAATGCAACTGTGCAGCCGTGGCAGGATTGCAACCCATGGGAGTCGCCAGAGAAGCAAAAGTGGCCTGCAGAACCCTTGAATTTAGCTGCCCCGCTCCCTGCATGGCATGGAGGTTAATTTCTAACCTACTTCTATTTATTATTACTCTTGATCCCATCTCTCTTCCTCCAGGAAGGTATGGACTGCATGCAGTTTGCCTTCTTCCCCATTTAATCCTTCTCAATAATGCCATGGGGAAGGTTGCCCTGAGAATGGCCAGTATTCTTATGGGTGAGCGGGGATTGGAATGCAGCTCTCCCGAGACCTCGTTCAATTCTCTGATCATCACACCACATTCTTCAGAAAAGGGGCTGTTTATAGAAATGAGAAATAAAATTGTGCTGGATTTACTGAGCACTTTGCCTGCTGTCTCCGCCCATCTCACAGTCGGGCAAATGCTCTGGATGCACTGAGATGTTCCCAACCAGTATTCAATACTGACGACCAGCCATGGCTTCCCCTGGATGGATCCCACTTCCTGCTTGTCCCAGGGCCTTGGTGGGCATCATTGCACCAGGACACACACACCCTGCCCTGTTGGAGCCTTAAGCTCTGCACCAGAAGGGGCCAGGAGGGATTAGCCACTGCGGGTGGTAAGAAATCCGGTTGCTGTTGCTCAGGTTTGGCCCTGTTTGGGAAATTAGCTGGTTACTGAGTTTGTTTATGCCTTGGCACTACGGATGTGTGGAGGAGCCAGCTGGGGTCAAAATGCAGTGGCCTGGCCTGGCGTGGTCACCTGGAGTCTAGCCAGTAAATGCAGCACTGATGTCGACTGATGCTACTTGCTCTGATGCCAGCACACCACCTTCTGCTGTAATATACTGGTAATATTCTGGAATCTACCTCTCCTCTGTTCACTGGACTTTCTCCAGTTCTCAGCCATTGCTCAGCAAGTGAGCTGAGCCAAGAAGAAAACCACAAACACTCCCGGAACTCCACTTATGCAACCTTCTTCCACAGCACATGCACATGAACAAAGGCTGAAAGCCACACACATGGAAGAGGGATGTCCCTTGTGCAATGTTCATGTGAGGTCACTTCCTGGAAGCTTCCTCTGCAAATGCTCTGCATGCATGCCAGGAAGTCAGGCTCACAACCACAAGAAAGTGGGCCAGAGACCAGGGACCTGAACCAAGAGAATCCAGTGGATTCCCACCCTGAAAACAAATTCCTCACACATCCCCAGTGTTGAATATTACTGAGTGATTTCTTTGGACTGTTGCTATTGCAGTGATCTGGCATGGCAAGTACTGTATTGATAGGCATTCTTGGTTTTGCACTCCTGTTGATGTGTTGAGAGCCCTTTGGCCAAACTGTTTGCAAAAGCTGCATCCCAATCAAGCAAAAGCAAAAGCTGCATCCCAATCAAAATGGTGGCTATGATGACAACTTGAAGATCATGCCACAGCCACTTAGAAGACAAATGGCAGGTAAACTTCCAGTTCGGAACTTCCCAAAAGCAACTAGGAGCACAATAAAGGATGCTGTTGAAGATCCAGTGCAACAGCCAGGAAAAGGGCCCACGTTCCTGCTCTAAACCAAGTAGAAGATGCTGTTCCTTAATCCGCCCCCCCACCCCGCATCAAGAAATTTGGAGACAGGAACAGACCCCTACCTGTGGGTTGACATCCAGGATGCATATCTTGCCTGAATCCACAACTTCATGGATAGAGTCAATCTTGGTCCCGTAGAGGTTCCCTTCATACTCGCCGTGCTCCAGGTAGCGGCCTGCTTTGATGTCGCCCTCCATCTCACTCCTAGTCACAAAGGTATACCCCTGCCCACTCTTTTCATGCTCCTTGGGCCGCCGCGATGTGTCTTAAACAAGAATGAAGGCCAAATGAGGACCATCCAGAAATCGGAGATGAGTTCTATCTCCTCCTAGTGGTGATACGAGGTCAGAACAGATACAAGATCTGATAGTCTCCTACTTTCTCATGCATAGCGTTCAGGGCCTGTTTTCAGCAGAAGATGCCCCTTGTAATGCTTGCAAACTGCCAGGGCCAAAGAGGAGGCAGCAATATAGAAGTCCGCAGCACACAGGAAATGCTGCACACACTAAATTCTGGGACATCCCTGGCAAGATGCTGCATCTGGACTAAGTTCAATTATTAGTAGTACTACTAGTAGTACTTATTTCTACACCTCATCTCACTGAAGGCCATGGTCAACCACACTGTTGTATTCCTGATCACTGTATATGGGTGTGGACAGCAAAGAAAGCTAACAGGAAGAAAACCGACGCATTCCAAACATGGTGTTGGAGGAGAACTTTGTGAATACTCTGGACTTCAAGAAAGACAAGCAAGTGAGTCCTGGACCACATCGACCCTAGAAGCAAAAATGACAAAACTGAGGCTGTCATACTTCGGACGTATCATAAGAAGGCAAAACTCCCTGGAGAAGACAGTCAAGCTAGGGAAGGTTGAAGGCAGAAGGAGAAAAGGAAGACCAAAGAAAAGATGGATGGATTCCATAAAGAAAGCCACTGTCTTGCATAATTATTGTATCATTTTATATTATATTGTTGATGGAGGTACACTGCCCAGAGAGTCCTATTTGGAAGTGGTTTTATAAATCAGATCAAATCAATCAATAAATCAATGTCATGGAGAGGACATTTTGGAGGGCTTTTTTGATATGGGTGCCATAAGTTGAGATGACTTGATGGCACATAACAACAACAACATACCATGCAATGGCCAAAGTTTTCTGGGTGGTTCACAACAAGAGTTCCCCTTGGAATCAGTGGGGTAACCAGGCTGCTGAGGGCTTAGAACGGTGTGATGTGTTCAGTCGAACATGGTCACAGCACTGCTGCAGATGTTTTCATCAGCAGGAGGTCAGGAGCCACAGTGGACACTCCCACCCGTCTTCTGTTATCAGGTGCCACAGATAATGCTGGATCATTCTTAGAGTTGAAATAGGTTTCAGCTACCGGACTGTGCATGCAGTGAGGACCCATGAATCTAATGTTGTGGGGCAGTGTCTCCACTCCCAGAATTAGTCTGCACTTTAAAGGAGCTACCCATGGTGATGACCCTATTTTGAGAGTAAGATTCAACACCATGGATAGTCCCTTAAAAGTTCGGACTGAAAACCAGAGGGAATACACCACCCCACAGACACTGGGGCCACTGGCACTGCTGCCTGCAGTCTGGTTAAATAGCAGTTCAGTCTCCAGCATGTCTCCACTGTGTGCAGGCAGTGGGAAAAGGTGCCATTTGTGCTTCATCTCAGGCCGCAAAATGTTTTGGTCCAGCCCTGCCCCCCCCCCACACGCACACACTTACATAGAAACATAGAAACAGAGCCAGTCAGAAGGGGCCTCCTGGGCCATCTAGTCTGACCCCCAGCTCCAGCCGGCTCCACTGCATGTTCCACCATGTGCATGTCCAGCCTATCCTTGAACACCCTCACCGATGGGGCCTCAACGACCCCCCGTGGAAGCCCATTCCACACCCTCGGGGTCCTAACTGTCAGGAAGTGCTTCCTGCCATCTAAATGGAACCTTGTTCCATACTCACAGAGGAATACCTGTTAGCAGTGTACATTTTGAAGTGCAACTTCTCATTATGGCAGCCATCATAGTCTCAAAAACAGTCTAAAATTTCAGGCATCTGTGTTGATCCATACCAGAAAAGTGTTTTTTCATCTCTGCTAGAAATAAGTCTTTTCTCAAGTGAAGGGGTCTGAAATTGCCCATTCAAGACCAAGCCACTCCAAAACAGTTTGTATTATGGCAGGGAACTACATTATTATTATTATTGGGGAAAGTCATTTTCCTCCTCCAGCTCCTATGAGAATTGCCACTAAACTCAGGAAGACTACCGTGGGTTCATTTCCCTGCTAATGAAAAGGCCTTGGTGCAACATCCCTGCAAGCCCTGGCTCCACTACATCACCACAGTTAAATATATCAAGACAGCCCACTGTGAATAAACCTGTTGTGGACAAACTGGAAGGTCAAAGTGCCCTCCATTCCCCGGTCTTCCATTCCTCATGACTTACATGGGATGGTGGTTCCATACTGAGACTGGTCAGACATGATAAGCTTGTTCTTAAGACTGCGCCGGCCAACCCCCTGGGCACCGATGAGGACCAGGGTTTTTCTGCGGAACGGGGGCATACGTGCCACCTCTTCATAGATCAGCAGTTCATGCCGGTCAAACTCTGCCATGAAGAGGAAAGGGAAATTGTTGTTAAATGCAACGCAGAGAGCCCAAGATCATCTGAGGCTGCTGAGGAGCCACTGCCATTTTCCAAAGTATTTGATAGGATTCGGCAAAACCCTCCTCCTCCTCTTCCTCCTCCCTTTCTTGCTGAAATGTGAGATCCACCTCTTAAAACCCACATTTTAAATCCAGCCTGTAAATTTTGAGACCATGTCCTAACTTTAAACTACTCCAACTCCCCAAATCTAAAACATGGATAATAGGGAATGTTTCTCCTCTTCAAAATTAGCCAAATATAAATGAGAGTTTCTGTGGGCAAATGTGAGTTCGGAGAATGGGTCCCCACCTCTCTCTACCACTTTGTTTTCTGTTGCAATAAATGCTAAACATTATTCTTTTGAGTCTTTATGATGAGTCGTTGCAAAGCCATACTTACATCAACCACAGCTCGTTCCAGAGGTGCAGTAAACATTTGTGTGGGTTTAGGCGGCTGGGCGGTGGGGGAAATATGGTTACACCTGCTGCCATTATGCCTCATCTCCATGCATTAAGTCAATCGTCCAGACAGAGCATACCACTGCACAGTTGTTCATGTGCCACTGCTACACACATGACTAGAGATACGGTATTTCACAGGGCTTCCAGTCTCATCATGTTAATCTGCTCTATTCAGGTCACTGCCTGAGTTCAGAGACTATTCAGATGGGTTAAAAAAAAGGTACAGCTTGCATTGTATTATGAACTTACCAAACTAACACTTCAGAAACCTCAGCACAAACCAAATGCAGACACTGAAGTACACAATTTTCTGGAGACAGTTGCCCAGGATAAAATTTGGTCAGCAAGAAAAGTGAGTTTCTGCTCTTTTGGTCAGCACCAAAAGGTATCTTGGCTCCTGGGTCCCACACACATCCTTTGAAAACTCTGCTTGCCCTGATCATCTCTTAAGCAGCGGAGGGAGAGTGGCCTTATCAGAATCAAGCTGCTGCTCCCTTCCTCTGCTCCCAATCTCCAAAAAGCTGCTGCTTGCTGCTCCATAACTGCTTTGCAAGAGAGGAAGCAAATGCTTTTAGATATTTAAGGACCACCTGCTTTTTCTGAAAAGAAGCTGCCTTTAGAAATGCCAATGAAATCCTTCCATTCCAAGCTTGAAAAAGAACTCCAAGGGCCCACAAAGCCTGCCATTTGATAACAGAGCCAACAAACTCTCCTCCTGCTCAGGTGAAAATCCAGACACGTTTCCAGATTTGCCCTGCCTGACCTTATCCCCCAAAGCGCTGCCCTCCCCTTCTGCCTGTTATCACATATTGCCCTTTCCCTTCCTTTAACTTGGCAGCGAAGCCAGCAGCAAAACAGCCCCTTGGAGAGAAGGGAGCTCCGTTCCTCTCCTGCACCCCAACATCCTGCTGCCAGGCCATGCCGGGGTACGCCTGACTACAGGAGATGCGGCTCTCCCAAGGACCCCCGAACAGGTCGTTGCCTCTGCGACCGAATGGCAAAAGTGGGAACATTCCTTGCCTGCATTCTTGGTGGTCAGATACATCATCCTTTTCTTTTTCTTCCCACTGAGGCTTCCGCACAAGGCACCTGCCAGGAGGAAAAACAAGACACTGAGCCAAGCTGGACAGAGGGAAATGCTGGCAGCGTGGGGAACTCTTAGACCCGCCTGAGGCCTGCAGTAATTTGTTTGCTCTTCAAAGGAAAAAATCCTTTGCATCTGTTGGGTCTTGGATCAGGCGAGGCACCCAGAGAACAACCTGGACCGGTATTATTGGGTGAGTTTCAGTTGGCAAAGGCTGAAGATTTTATCAAGGTGCTTGGCAGGCTCATGCAATCACTTCTGAGCATCTCCTGGCAAGGAGGAAACAACTGGCTGGACCCCTATCTGGACAGCGATAGCCTGGCTTCAGTGATTTATTTTCTGGTAATCTCTAATTCTGATTATCGCAATGCACTTTACACAGGGCTACTTTGAAGAAACAGCAGCTTGTGGGAAACAGTAGCCAGACTAATATCTGGAACTCATGGGCCTGAATGTAAGATGTTCTGGCCCATTTGCATTGGCAGCTTCTGAGCTCAATACAAGGTGCTGGTTTTAAGCTGTCAAACCTTACATGGTCTAGGAACACAATGCTTGATAGAGCCCCTCTCTCAGCCACCATCTACCTGGGCACAAAGATCAGCAACTGGTGCCTTTCTCCAAGAGCCAACTCCGAGGAGGCTCAGAGGGCAGCAACAAGGGGGGTGGCTTTCTCAGCAGTAGCCCCCCATCTATGGAAAGACCTCTCCATGGCAGCCTGCCTTTTAAGCTCAGTGTCAGATTAAGATGCACCTTTATGCTGCAGCTTTTAAAGACATACATGGATTTTTAAGGGGCTGAGTGACTTACCCTTCTCGGGTGTTTTACGGGGCTACTCTTGACTGTATGTTGTTTCAGAGGTTCTAAATTTTGTTTTTGATATTTTAATTTTGTAAAGACTTTATTGACTTTCCAAAACTTTCATGACTGGGTAATGCAGAAGAGGGATACATACACACACACACACACACACACACACAAGCAACCTTGGCCTGAATCTGTAGTCTGCACCTAGGGTAGCCAGTTATGCATGAACCAAAAGAAGAGCCATCACCCAAAAAAGGGCAGAGGAGAACAACGGTTTGCTGAAAAAGTGTACCTGCTCCTTTACGCAACTAGACACACATTCAGAAACAACTATTATACGTTACATGGCAGTGCAGTGCATCTCACCGTAGGGAGGAAGGCTGTGCCCAGGTGACCCTCCTGCGGATAGGCAAGAACAGATCTTACAGCCATTCCGTGTTCCCCTGGAGCTGGGCTGGGCAGTCCCCAAACTGCCTTCTGTAAAAGGGGACCCATGGCTGCCCCGTTTGCAGCCTTGTAGCTGTCATGGCAAGCAGCCCCAGGGCTTTGAGCGCTGTCTGCGCCTGTCGGCCCATTTCCTGCTCTGTCCAAGCTGCTCCCACGGCACTGGGGGCTCTGCACCCTTTACCTGAGGAAGGTGTGACTTCAAGGTCCCGCTTCACAAATGCCTTGCGCTTCTCCTCCAGCAGCTGGCTGGGGATCAGTCCTGCACTGCCACCCTCCACATGGCAGGCCTGCAAAGACAGAGAGCTCTGAGCAACCCCTGAAATCACGGAGTGGGCCGCCCGACACGCGAATGCACGACCCCTCCCATTTTCTGTACACCTTTTAACGATGGCAACAAAGGGGCTGTAATAAACAAATGCAAAAGCAGGCAAAGGTGTACCTAGTGAAGAACAGGCTACTTCCTTCCCCCCAGCTTCTCCCCCCCTCCCCGAGGGGGGGTGAGACTTGCAGAGATTGTCAAGAGGAGTGCTTGTCACTGCATCACTGCCTGGGAGGGTCCGGGTGGCTCTCTAAAATGATGGTTGGACAAGCCACCCACAGGCTGGGTGCCCTGTGCAGTCCTCACTGTCCCCAGATGCCTTGTCCACCCACACATCCAGCTGGAGTATTAAACACAAGGCTGTGTACCGGAACACACCCTGCCCAACACGGTGGCTTGTTAAAAGTGGCTGGACACCTTCCCTGGCTGCCACCCTCCTGCCCTGAATTTTGTCCATGCTGAATGCCGCACCTTCACTGGGGTCTGATCCTGATCTTGCCCACGGCTCAGTCCTCAGACACAAGGCTCCTACCTGCCACCAGTTGGGGTCATCCTGGTTGACAATCTGGAGAAGGTCTCCAGCGACGAACTTCAGACCGGCTTCCTTGCATGGGATGAGGTTGTCCGTGGCCGGGTCATAGTCAAAGTGGGCCTTTACAAATACCTGCAGGGGGGGGAGGAAAGCAGCAGGTGAAATGTCTTAGGAGGCCTTGGAGGGCGTGAGGGGGGGAGTCAAAGGCTCAATTGCTAGCCAGCCAGGAGGGAAACAAAGTGGTTTGAGGGCGGACTGTGGCAGGGGCCCCACAAACTGAATGATCAGGAAAACGATGCTGTAAATGTAAGGTCAGCCTGAAGAAGAGTTACAGGGAAGCACGGACAAGGCAGCTCTGCTCATTTCACGTCTCCCACGCTGTGGATGATTGCAGTGCTTGCCCCAGCCTTGCATCCCTGCTAGTCTGTTTTTTCGCTTGCTTGCTTTCCTTGGGCTTATCTACCTCTTTGTTTAGGGATGGATGAGGCTTTTGGGGGGGGGGGTCACAAATGACTCAAAATGCCTCATTCATAAGCAGCAGCACCAGTTTCCCCCCATTGAGAATGGGAGTGAGCCAATGCAAGCTTTGAAATCACATTCGAGAACTGCACTGAGCTTGAACACTCTTGGCTCTCCTACCGTTAACTTTATTATTTGATTTTCATTGGAGCATCATCTTCATAATTAATCATGATAATTATCATCACTACAATTATCAACAGCAATACCCCTGTGGACTACAATGCAGCAGTCAGGAAGAAACCCAGCAACGCTGTTGGAAAACCGGCGAAGCAAGACCATGGTTAGTACAGAATCCCGTCTGCCATTCATTGCTTCCTCGAACAATGAATCCTGGCAGTGGAAGGCGGTGAGCAAAACACACTCGAGCCAGTGGTTGTTACTGTAAATCACAGGCTCCTTTCATTTGCATCTGCAAGAGGCACAGACGGCTGACGTCTCCTGGGAAACGGGTCATATCTGAGCCTGGCTGTCAAGATGCTGGCCTCCCTCCCTATCCCTGCCGCTCCAGTCCAAATGCTTGCAGAGATGAAACACAGACGGATGTTTGCAAAGGAAAGCCACCAGCTCAGTGCTTGCTCAGCAGACAAGGGAGCAGAGAATCCCAGATCACATGTGACGCGCAGGCAAGTCTGAACCTCATTGTGGATGCGAAATGTGGGTTGCAGGAGTGGGCATCCAGAGGGAGGATGTGAGCTGGGATTCTGTGCTCCCGAGGACAGGCCTGGCGCATTCTCCAGCGGAAAGCAGCTTGCAGGGGGCAGCCCAAGATGGAGGGAGGAGCAAAAGCTGCTTCTCCCGGGATGAGGTGCCCAGTACAAGGACCGGCGCCATACTGGGCAAGTCCAGTTACTGCCAAGGGCCTGCACCCCCGCAAGGGCCCACTGATAAGAGGACCTGGGCTTGTTCCTCCTTCTCACCATCAAAACTGCTTGCTCACCTCCCTCCTGTGCGGCCCAGGAAGGGTGGTGGGGTGGTGAGAAGGAGCTGCAGCAGGTGTGCCTGCCCACCTGTTTGTTGGCCTTCTGCCTCCCAAGCGAGCAAAGGGTGGCAGTGACGGGAAGAGGATGAGACACAACAGCAGCTGGCTACAACGATGCTGAGATGGAGGGGCCCTTGGAAGAGGTCTTGCCCACAGACCTGGGAGATCTGGAACTGGTCAGACACGTCACTTGGCACGGAGGCAGAGAATCCCCCAAGTGCCTCTCCACCTCCCCAGAGGTAAAAAAAATGCAGTAACAATAAATTAAACAACTGACAACACGATGCCCTTTCATGACACCCAAAATCAGTCCTGAGCCCTGGACTGGCAAGTGTCGGGATCTCTCCCTCTGAAAGCAGACCGATATCGTGCTCAAATCTTGACCTGCAGAGAAGCCTGAGGTGCGAGGTTAACTTGAAGGAGGTTGGTGAGGGATGTCTTATTACATGTGTTTATCCAGTTCTGAAGTTTGATTTAATTTACTTGGAGTCCAACTGCCAGGTACACCAGCCTCCCGCAGCCTAGAAACCAGCAAGTGAATGAGACTGCAAATCCCACAGTGTTGGCTGGGGAGTGTGGAAGTTGTAGTCCACCTGCTTTGGAAGGCACACACAGGAAGGCCAGGCTGCATGTTGCAAGCATGCATAACCGCAGCCCGGCGAGGGCCCGAAAAGCCCACTTGAACAGGGGCCACCAAAGCCAGGAGAGTAGCCATCACAGCGCAGGTCAGGAGAGGGCACCTTCTTTGTCTGATCTGCTACAAAGTGGGTCACCACCAGGTCCCCCAGTGCCAGGTTCAAGGACGCGCTTGTGTGAGTGGAGTAGCCCCTTCGGGGAGCTCAGATGGCACAGGGAAGGTGCACAAAGCTTGACCCAATTGCAGCTCCCCTTCACGCCCTCCCTCTCCATTTCCCACCCTCCCTCCCTCCCTGCCCCGTTGTGAACTGGGCTCCTGGGCTGCAGTTACAGGTGTCTGCTCTCCCCAAGCTGCCGTACACGGACACACATTTCCCAAGCACTGTCCTCGGGCTGTATTGAGCAAGCATCCGTTTTTAATGCTTATTGATGTGAAATAATCCTCTTTGCTTCCACACAGGAGCAGGATTATATCCAAATGAAAACAAGCATCCCTCTCCTCCCCTCCACCGCTGCTAGCACCCTCCCCCAATCCCTTCTGCAATCAGCCAGAGCCTTGCGGCAGGGAGCGGGCGGTGGCAAACTCATTACATGATCCTGCATGTGTACTTCTCTCCCTCTCTCTCTCTCTCTGGAATGCTTTTAACATCATCAGACACTGTTCTGAATCCTCCTTGGTTTTGGTGTCATCACACAGCTGCACACTCCAGCATTCCACACACACAACTGTACGCTCCAGACTCAAACCGACTCACATTTTATCTCCATCATTCCCTGGAATTTGCAATTGGTGCTGAATCTGAGCACTGGGAAACAATCCCATGGGATCTGCATATGGGGGGTGAGGAACCACACACAGTAGAAAGTAGAGCAGCCATTCCCAGCCTGGTGTGTTGGACTGCAGCTCCCAGTACTGGCAGCCGGTATGCCATAAAGATCAGGGACTGCGGTCCAAAGAATTCTAGAGGGTGCTGGCAAGGCCAGGAACATTGGGTCGGGGCGCTGGCAAAGGTGAGCATCTCTGATCGAGTACCTGCAAGCAGGGCTGGAAGCAGAGCTACAGAGTGGCTGGTGTCACATGACATGGAAAAGAACCCTGTGCTGTTTCTGCAGTGCGTGGACTTTTGCATGAACTTACCAGAAACCACACGGTTACCCAGACAGCACACTTTCCATGTGCCCCACTTTGTCATGCCAACCCAGTCATCCAGCTCAGCAGCTCCTGCAAGCACAATCCTTGCCCCTATTCCCATATGGACCTTAGCAGCCTCCTCCCAAATGGCCCACTCTGGTCCTGAGGCAAGTTCCCCCCTTCTCTCTCCTGAATTTGCCCCATCATTTCAAAACATCATGCCGGCTCCTGTTCAGTTTCCCTGCTGTTCTTAATCCTCCTGATTTGCTTTTATTGCCATGTTTTGTGGTTCACTTATCAATGCCGCAGCAGCAAAGGGAGAGGGGCGAGCCACCTCTGCAGTGATCTTAGATGGTGGCAAAGCTTGTCTGTGAGGCTGAAGTGGGAGAGCTTCAGTCCCCGGGGAGTAAAGGCCAGGCTGGTTCAGAGCCAGACCAGCTCTCTGGCTCCCTAGCTGAAAGGTGCTCATGACAATTCAGGGGTTCCATAACCAGATTATTAAAGGAGTGTGAGCCAAGCCTATAGCTTCCCACACTGACGAGAACATTAGTGGACAACACGTAATTGAGTTGACATCTGCTCATTAAATTCTTATGCCATTTTGCTCAAAGCACCCAAGCATTAACTCACTTTTGAACTGGAGTGCTTGACACAAGGAGTGGGGAGGGTGATGGAACAGAACAGAAAAGGAGTTTGGGAAAATGGGGGCCTTGTCACGAGGCCGTGGGGTTTTGTCTCTCCGTGTGCAGCACCTGCCAGAGACGAGGAGTTATTGTCTTTAGGCTCAGTTAGAGATGAACAACTCTGTCATTTGCTGGTGTGTTGCTTTCACATTTCAATCCACAATTCCATCCTCTTTCACTTGTATGCTGACCTGTATTCTTTAGAAGTCTTAAAATACGTATCTAAACATGTATTTAAAGGCATATTCCTTCTTCAAATATGTATTTAAATGCATAGTTGGCTACCCATGGATCGCCAAGAACAGTGCCACAACATCCTGAGAAGTCAGAATAGCCAAGATCCCATCTGAGAGCAGCTGAAAAGCAGAGCCAGCTCTGCCATGAAGCAATGCCAGGCAGCTCCTCACTGTGGGAGCCGAGGCAAGGGGTGGGAAGCGAGCACGGTGTGTGCTGCACGCCTGCCCTCCAGGGTAGCCTGCTGGCCTTGGGTGCAATGAAGGATGCTGAGAAGAGGCTCAGGGCCAGACTATGTGTCATGCTCATCTTGTCGTACGGAGTTGAGATCAGGAGAGACGTTGCATACCTGGCTGAGTTAGCAATTCAAATGGAGACGGCAGCCAAGGAATTTGCAGGACACAGGCTCAGAAGGGCAGCAATGAAGGAACTAGGGCATATTAGCACGTGTAGGGACATTGCAATGAAGACCAAGGCTAGGAACACCCACACTACTGTATTTCCGATCGGTGTGTATGGGTGTGAAAGCTGGGCAGAGAAGAAAGCGGACAGGAAGAAAAGGGATGCATTGGAAACACGGGGCTTTGTGGATAGCTTGGACTCATGGAAGATGAACAAGAGAGCGTTCCATCAAATCAAGCCAAGCTTTCCCTAGAAGCAAAAACTGGTGAGCTGAAGCTGCAGAACTTCAGCACTTCATGAGGACGTGAGATTCAATGGGAAAGGCAATCATGCTAGGGAAGCTGAAGGCAGAGGAAACCAAATACGTTTTCCATAAAGAAAGTCGTAAAAAAAGTCACAGCCTTGGGTTTACAAGAGCTGAGAGAACTGTCAAGAACAGGGCATGTGAGAGGGCACTCATTCAAACAGTCACCATAAGCTAGAGATGACTTGATGGCTGCTAACAGCAAATGTAGTTGAAACTTAAATCTTTATTTATTCTTGTATAAGCTTGTGTGGCTCCAATTCAGATTAAGATCAGCATGCACTGAGAGAGGAGGATTAAATCTATCCCCAGTATACACAAACAGTTTGCTTCCTGAAATACCCCATCACCCTTTTTCTTGCAACAGCATGTATTTCCAAAAAAGCCTCCACTGAAAAAAGCCTCCATTGAAACAATCCTCCTGTTGTCTTGCCATCATGACCCTCTGGATGGAGAAGACGCATGTGTCTGTCTGAGAAGAAGCATTGTGGCAACCTGGCTTGCCTGTATGCAGCCATCCCAAATCATGGCTTCATTTCTGTGAGCATCTTTAATCGTATGGGAACTCATAACATGTCTCAGTTCTGGCTCCAGGCTTGTGGGGCAGGCTTATGTAACCTCCCAAGGGTCTCCTCTCCATCACTGTTCCCTACCAACTTGCCTTCCTCCTCTGGGTCCACTCTATCAAGAGAAAGAAGGGGCTGAGGCAAGGCAGAGAGAAAGCCACATCCCCAGGTTTCCAGGCCAATTTCTGAATAAGCAAGCATGACTCCTCATTTTAAGCACGTGCTTTGAGGTACATCCAACAGAATTAGATGCATGAATAAAGAAGTAAAAGACCTTGTTGGTCTAGCTTAAATGCTAAAAGTCTTAAAGATCTGCTAGCTTAAATGCAGAGAGCATATTGATGGCTCTCCAAGACAGTTAATCTGTTTTATTTGGCCACTGGTCATCTGCATTATCACAGTATTTTCAATCAGTGCTCTAAAGTTGGAGGAAGGAAAGGGCTAGTTTTGTGCCACAGTAGCATCAATGGCATCTATTGGATTAGATCTGGATGTCCTGATGCTTAGAGCAGAGGCACTGAAATCACTGACACAAGTAAGTCATGATTAACTTAAGCCCTACTGGTTTCCATGGATCTACTCTAAGCTTAACTTGGTCTCAGTGGTGCAGTGCATCCAGGGCTCACAAGGACTCAGCACCAGGACTTCATAATTGGCAGGGATGCTGAGATCATCTGCTACCCTGTTCTAATGGACTTTCCAATGCCAATGAATTTTTCCAGCAGCGAGGAGTAATACAAAGTTTTATGTGATTCACTGCCAAGTACATTCTGCAAAGAAAGTATCCGCCTCAGAATCAGGGCTTTGTTAGGTTGCCTGACCTGAATAGGAGGCTTCTAACAATTCTGTAAAGGTTTAGCTTCAACTCTACATTCTGCCACATGAGCTTAAAAAGCTGGTTTTATAGGATACCAAAGCAGCGTGATTCTTGTAGCAGTTGTTTGCAACACAACCTGTTGTGTAGCCTGAAGCAAGCATGGCTTGACTGTAACTTTTTACATGATAAAAAAATAATTGATTAGAATTAAATCAGTGACTTGACTCCTGTAAGAGGCAGGTCAACCTTCAACACATGCCCACGGATGTTATCTAAGCCACAGAGGATCTGGCGAGAAGCTATTTATCCCACAAGATCAAATTGTTCAGCACCCCTGCTTTGCTTGGCTATAATAGAGCTGGTTCCTATAAGACCCTGGTACAGATATACAAAACGTTCATTAGTGCTCACAGAATAGTTGAGTGTGCCCCATTCACAACCCCAAATGTAAGCACAAGCAGGAGAATGCATTCTCCAAGGATGTTAGCATCTTCTCAAATATATGTTCGTGTTTGAAATTTGCACACATTTCAGTGAACAAGCAGCTTGAAATTGCCCAACTTACAAACATACACAATTTCATGCTTCAGTCAAACTAAAACTCTGATTTCTGTGCAATTTTCCTGTTCCCAAAAATAGAACAGTAATCCCAAGCACTCCGAGAAAGTGAAACAGACATAAGCATCACTGAGACTTGGAAAACCTGCAGAAACATATACTTTGCTTGCCTGTTCATCTCTACTCCTTGGCTCTAAAAATGAGAAGCAGCTTTTAGTATTCATTGGTAAGTTATCATCTACTTCCTCCAGTGACTGAAAACGTCACCAGAACTACAGCTTTGTTAATATGCACATTTATTAAAAGACAAATGATATGTCCATTATGAACTCTTTAATTTTGGATGGGGGAAAACCCACACACACCTCCAGATGGTCTTGGATTGCAACTCTTATCATCCCTGACCATTGGTCATGTTGCCTCGGACTAGAATCCAATATAACAGAAGGATGGATTTTGGAACATGATTTCAGAGAGTGAAACTTTATGAGAAAGCAGTGGTGACAGAAAGAAGGAATCAAGAAAGAGTGGAAGGAAAGAAGAAATCTAGAGAATGTAGAAAATGGAAAGCACCCCTTTCAGTTGTAGATCAAGAACATGTTCTATCTTTGCTCTAGTCCAGGAGTGCAGTGCCTTTTTCAACCTGAGGGCAGAGAAGAGTGTGTGTGTGAAAGAGGGAGGGAGGGAGGGAGGGAGGGACAGACAGACAGACGGAGGATGCAGTTCAGTGCTGGTTGGGGCCCAATGCAAAAGAGTCAGGGCTAAAACAAGAGCATGTGTCAGCTTAGCGTCCTTACTGCCAATACTTAAGTCACAGGAGAAGCATTTCAACCTTTCAGAATGGGGACAGACTGCACAAAGCTGGTGCCAACGCTACAGATTTCACACCTCCACAGGGCTCTACCCCAAGATGCTGTATTTGGACCTGAGCAGGAGGTTCTGGACTCCTTCTCTAGCTAAAGGTAGAGGAAGCATTTAGCAATATTATATTTTCGGGGAGGCTGAGAACTGCAGATCAAAGGGGTTCACCTACCTGGCGTGGTGGGTGTGGCTCCTGGTAACTGGGCAGGATCTTGAGCACGACGCTTCCACTAGCGTTTTTCAGCATCTCCTGGAGAGCCCGTGGGTCGCTCCCCACCTCCTGCCCATTCACCTCCTTGATGATGTCGCCCACATGCAGCAAGCCCTGCTGGTCAATCATGCCCCCGTGCAGGATGCGTGCAATGACGAGCTCTCCACGCTCCACCCGGAACGTCACCCCCTGGGATGAGAGGATATGTAAGAGCAGGGGATCAGCTCTGGAAAGCTAGACCTGTATCACTGAGCTCTGCAGTGCTCCAGGTTTCAGGGCCTGGCTTCCCAGAGCCAAGGCGGAAGTGGCAGTAAGTTGCTGGCACCGCAACTGCTACTGCAGGGATTCCCGTATAAGCCTGTACAGTCTCAATATAGATCTGCAGCTAACGGACCACAACAGAGTGATTCATGAAGAATCAGTGCATGAGCATCTCAGCAAAAGACCCAACTTTCTTTGGGTTGGAAACACAGAGTAAGTCCCAATAAGCCTTGGCTCCACCACACTGGGGCATGGCCCCCTCTTGGCTCCTACCAGGTTCCCTGATTTTTATCGCATTGCTTACGATTCCTTAAATTGTTATTTTTAAAAGTGGGAGGTTGGCATGCGGCCAAGGATAGGGCTGCTCTGCAGCACCATCTTTCTTTGGGTTCCAAAGGATGGCTTTGTATTTGAGGACAGACCACACCATTGCCTTGTATTTAGCTTCTTAAAGAATTGCTTTTATTCTCACCAGTTGTGATAACCCACCACTTTATGAAGTGGTCTATAAATTAGTCACTTCTTGAACAGGCGATATCCTCAAAGCCGCCATTTTGTTCGAACACCATCAACACTTTTTCAGATGTGCCCACTGACCCTAAATGTTTGGGGAGCCCAATCCAGTATTGGTACAGAGGATTCTTTGGTTACTGTTGTTGATTTATGCTTCGGACCTGTCAGATACATCATTCCAGCTGCTGTGCCCGCTTCATTTGTGCCTTGTACAGTGGGGTGAAAAACCCAATTTTGAGGGGAAGAAAAATTGGGAGAGGCAGAGGAAAAGCAAGCTTGGCAGACCTCTCAAAGGTTCACATTCTCCACACTGTCTACCTGTTTGTTTTTTAAAAACACTGCAAGTGTGCTTCATTTATACAAATCCTCATTTTTAAAGGTACAATCTTCTTAAAAGGGAATTTAGGGATAGTTGCTAGAAGGCATGCTTTTGTAATGGCACAGATGCCAGTCAATCAGAGCTGTGCACCATTGGCTTGGGTAGGAAAATCACAGAAGAATTTTCCTGAGCTCCACTTGGAAAGAAACAGCTTGTACTTTGAACAGAATATGCCAAGTACACTTTCAGAGTGGCCCGATTGCCCAAATAAAATTACATCTGAATGCACCAAAGATTTCTCATTCAAGAATGCCATTTCCTAAAAACAAGCAAGTAAGCAAACACAAAACCCACTAAACCCCCCCCCCCCCTTCATTTCTGTAACAATGAGCAGAATGTTGCTTAATTGCAATTTGGCATCTTTCACACTTATGAAAAAAACAATACATAACATGTTAATTACAGTAATGTAAAATTCTACCAATTAGTCACATCAAAACATTCTGTGCCATGGTTCTTTGTGCTGAGGAAAGTGTGGCTACCCCTGCTTCGCGACGTGCAGATATTAGCAGAAAGATGTGAATTCTGCAACACAAGTGAGATTCTGTACTCTGAATAAATTATGAAGCCTGAGTAATGTTCGGGGAATAGCTTAACGTGATCTATGATCCACTGAGGACCAGTGTGACATAGCAGCTAGAGTGCCAGGCTTGGCCTTAGGAGAGCTGAGTTCTAGTCCCGACTCAACCACAAAGCTCACTGGGTGACTTTGGGCCAGTCACAGGCTTTCAGCCTAACCTACCTCACAGGGTTGTTGTGGAGATAAAATGGAGAAGAGGGAGACCTTGAAAGCCACCTTGGGTTCCTTGCAAGAGGAAGCAAGAGGCATAAATACAGTGTAGCAACAGCAATGATCCTACACACATCACTCAGAAGAGGACAACGTTGGGTTCTTTCTTCCGTTTTATGGCTGGTATGTGCAGGGTGTGTCTTTCCATCAGGGAAAGGAAGGGCTGCTCCTTCACTGCCATCAGCCCCAGGAAGGCAGTTTCCAGTGGAATCCAGTAGGGAATCTGTCAGATTCCCTGGGCTCAGCTCCTTGGACTCTGGCCTACTTCGTTGTCACCCTGAGTCCACATTCCTGGTGAGCCTGCCCTCTCTCTTCACCTCCCTGGCCATTCTAGTTCACAGCATCTTAGAAATACGCCAAGCTATTCCATGATTTTTTCTGGTCAAGGGCACAGGGCGTGGGCCAACTCATTCTAAAGCAATTCAGCTCAACTTGGGGGCAGCTTCCCCATCACAGCTTTCAACTAGCAGGGGAGACATTTTCAAGCAGAAGTCAGTGGCCTCTCAGTCCTCACACAGCTCACCCAGTCCTCACCTCTCAGCCCTCACCCAACTGCATGGATCTTTTTTCCCCCTTGCTATCCATACCTCTTGCTTCCCTCTGTTCTCTGCTTGCCCATCACACTGCCAAATGGAAGACTGTGAGCTCCCTGGAGCAATTTTTCTACAAAGCACCGTGTATGCTGATCCTACATAAATCAATGATTCTGTTAACACAGCAACTGGATAAACAGGTCTTTCCCCAAAGACTTGGCCAAACACAGGGCAGTCGGTGGGACTTTACTCACCAGGTGCTCCCCAGCGGTCTTGCGAATCCCCACCATGCGCACAGCATCTGGTGGCACTGGCTGGTTGTTGAACATGGGGTCCAGGACTGGACTGGGCGGTGGGGTCTCGTAACTCTTGGAGGCAACAGAGTCATGGGTTTCCAAGAGGGACTAAGAAGCAAGTCCAGCAGGTGATGATGGAGAAGAGGAGACAAGGGAAAGAGAATTCTTGAACTACGGCATTACATATCGGTGTTTAGGTGTAGCTGTGATGGAGGCAGTATGGTCTAGTGCAGGGGTGGGCAATTAATTTTCCTATGGGGCCACATGAGAAGCTTTGACAGTTGTTAAGGGCCGGACCAATACACTTACAGCTCTGCTCAATAGATCTCTCTATAAAAACAGTAAATGAAACTTTACAATGATACGATGAAAATGTGGAGCACAGAACAACACTATTTAAGGAATAGTCACAAAAACATTAACATTACATGAAAAGCAGTAAGTTCAATTCAATTTAGCAGATCCTTCAAAATAAAAGCAGTGCAGTTGTATTGCTTGCATCTATATTACGACGCTATATATTTGCACTGACTTTTAATTTGCCAGTGACCTCATGCAGGCCAGTCAGGGTCAGCCATCGGGCCGGATGTGGCCCGCGGGCCGTACAATGCCCAGGTCTGGTCTAGTGGCTAGAGAGCTGGCCTGGGATGCAGGAGACCCAAGTTCTAGTCCCTGCTTGGCCAGGAAATTCACTGAATGACTGAGGGCAAGTCACTGACTTTTGTTAGTAGCAGTAGTAGTACCTGGATGGGAAACTGGTTCCATCCTAATTTGAATTTACCAAATTTGCACCTGCTGAACCAAGAAGTGAACTGGAACAGAGCTAAACACTACATTTCACGCTTTCCCAAATATAGTGTTCCAGTCCCAAACTCAAAAGAATGTTCCCAAAAGCACAGGAAAGTGCAGAGAAAATTCCATGCACGACTAAGAAATGCACAAAAATGCACTCAGCAATGAAAATAACCCACAGAAATCCATTACCACAGGGAAAATAGCTTTTGAAACTGTTTTGCATTACCAAAGACAGGGAGCGGGGTTCACACAAAAATGTGCCTATCATATATGTGCATAAAATTAATTTGAATTTATGCATTTTCATGCAGCCACTGAAAATGTGTGTCGCTGTGGACTGGAGCTCAGCCAGACCTGAGGATGAAACTGAATGAAACTGAATAGGACCAAAATGGAGAGAGTAGTTCATTTGGTCAATGACTGGAATACCCAACATCTCAATTTTGGGTTCAGATTTTGCTTCTGAGACCCAGCTGTGATGGATCTGTTGAAAAACGGGGCTACATCCTAAGACAGGGTGTCACAAGGTTCCTGGAGTTCCGTGGATGGCCTGTCACACCCCTCCTGGCTCAGCAGAAACCTGCGTCATTTGGGAGCCAGAAAGGTAGGGCTTTTCACAGCAGGACAAAGAGGCCAGGGCCAGTTTCAGCACCGGAGCATCCCTGGGTAGCTTCCCTCTCAAACACACATGCTCATAAAAGGAGCATCTTTGTGAACCTGTGCGGCACAACATTTTCTGTACTGGACAGGGACCTGGGAGATCTGGGTGTAGTCCCCACTCAGCCATGAAGTTCACTGGGTGACTTTGGGGCAGTCATGGAGCTCAGCCTAATCTACCTCACAGGGTTGTTGTTGTGAGGATAAAATAGAGAGGAGGAGAACCTCGTAAGCTGCCTGGGGTTTTGTGCAAGAGTAAGAGATGTAATGTGATTCTGATGACAACAACGACAATAATATAGTAGAGTTAAGATGGAAGGTATCCAAAACAGAAGGCTGGCATAAAATTTCCATGTTCTAATTTACAGCTATAGCTGCAAATCTGAATATAATCACTAGAACTAAAATTGAAATACAGCACATTTCATCACAGTGGGAAAAACTGTGACCAGATAATCTGCGTGCCAGCTCCGTCTGCTGTCCAGGTGCTCCCTGCAGGTGGGCAGCTTCGACAACCACAAGCTCCCTTGCCAGGGTTCTTTGAGTTTAAATTAGACAGGCTCCGCAGATCTTCAGATAGATGGCACATTCAAATTCAGTATTGTCCTCTGACAGCCCTATAAATACAGGATTAAAGCAGGACGCAGGACCAAGCCAAACAGGTAGAAGAGGCAAAATGCATCCAACTCCTAATGCATGCACATATAAAAGCAGGTCACTGACTAATCAGTGCTGCCTAAACCAAGCTTTTCTGAACCTAGATGGGGCAAAAACTGCCAGGTGCATCAGTCCCAGGGAAATAGTTGTCATCTTATCATTATTACATGACATTTCTATACTGCCCATACTCAAAGCTCTCTGGGTGGTTCACAACATTTTAAGTCATTCGTCCAGATTTCAACCAGGCCTGACCCTGCTTAGCTTCCAAGACTGGGCAGGATTAGGCACTCAGGCTATACAAAAGCTACATATGCACATCTGTATATGCTAAACAGATTAATTCATTAATAACTTAATGCATTTTGATTAAATATGTATCTAATTAAGATGCATATACCACATATAAACACCAAGAATTGTAACAGCCCACCCAAAATTGAAGGGGCAGGACAGATAACAGTCTTTTTTAATGCACAATCTTTCCAATTAAAACAAAATGCAGAAAACTTTGCAAGCATTAGAACTCCTTCCTCATGCTGTTGGAATTCCTACTAGAAATTCCTACCAGCGGCCCTACCGGCACACAGATGACCTTATCATCCAGCATAGTCTGGAGCAACAAGCATCTGCAACTTTACAGAAGTTAAACAGGTCTGAGTCCAGGCAGTGCCTGAACGGGTGACCACCTGGGAACCCATGCACACTGCCTTGGATTCCCAGTTGAAGGAAGGCAGATCATGCTATTAATATAATGTATTAATCACTGAATAGCATTAGTCAGATGCCTCAGATCTCTGCAGAGATCTGCAGAGTCACTGTTCCCTTGGACTAACAGCAAACATTCACACACAAAAGTTGTGGGTCAGACCCAAGGCAAACCCCCCACCCCACTGGTGGGGGGGGATGGACCCCTACTCCAGCCCGGGACAAAGCCCAAAGTCCAGTATCAATGGCTGAATCACACATCTTCCCACAACTCCATGGCCGAAGAGGACAACTCCTCAGATGTCTTTGTTAATACAATGTCAAAGGAAGTCCTCTGATCTTTCTGGGAGAGCACACCTCTCTCCCTCTCTCATGTATGTATGCATGCACACCCACACAGGGTCCATGGCAAATCCTATAAGCTGTGCACAGTGTGGTAGCTGGGTAATTTTAGGTTCTGCACTTAATAGTCTTATGCCTCCCACCCACTGCAGTTGGACATTATTTAAACATCATTTTAATTGTTAGTATTATTTGCTTATTTTATCTGGCCAGGGCGACTTATTTTATATTGTTATTTGTTGTATATATTATATTTTAATTTTATGTTGTGAGCCGCCCCGAGGCTTCGGCGAATGGGGCGGCATAGAAATGTTTTATTAAATAAATAAATAAATGCCTCTTTTTTCCAATTGTAGAGCGTGCGGTGAGAGATTTTGAAGAAATTTGCAGTGGAGTCAACTGGATTTGGATTTCTGTGAACCAAACCTGCAAATTCCACAACAGATCAGCTTTTTCAGAGTTGCACAGATTCTATACATTTGTAGACCAATTTTTTTTTACCTGCCAGAATGTTACAGAGTAGAAAAATAGCGGGAAAATTAAAATGGAAAGAATATGACCTCTTCCCACCCCCATAGTTTAAGTATGGAATACACATTTGGGAGGACTCTTCACATTTCGGAAAGTGCAGATTTGCAGAACTGAGAATAAGCACAACTTTGGGTAATTGAAAAAAAATCCGTTCTATCAATAGGCAGACGATGGACTGGAAGCCATCTGACAATCCGTGAGACGCAGAGAGAGTGGATGTGACAATATCTGTACATCCCTGCACGCAACATACAGCTCCCCCTCCGTGCAGACACCACTCCATGCTTTGTAACTGCTTCTACATTCCTGATACAACTGAAGAGCAACAACATACTGTTTGCCAGTCCTGATTTTTAAAACAGGTTCTGAGCACATGTGCTCTTACATTTTAATCTCACTGAAATCACAGTGCCATCAGGACTAAAGGAACGCAATGGAGTTTGCTTCTGCTGCCCTCATCACCTGTCATCCTCTCGGGAGTAGTTTTCTTTTGGGAGTGGGGGGCCGCTACAAGGCTGCGGACTTTGCCCCAAGGTCCATACGTAGCTGCATCACTGCTAAAGATATTCCCCTTTAGGCCAGCACAGGTACAACTGAAAGGAGCCCACAGTCAGTGCGGCATCAACTCCCCACCTGCAACTCTCCCTCTCTCCTCCACCACCTGTTTCGCCTCTGCTCTTGGGGGGGGGGGTCACCCCCTACCTGGAAGTGCGGCTCCTGGAGGATGTGAGCCAGTTCAGCCGCCGTGCTGTCCTGCTGAGCAATGCGCGCGATGTCTTTGAGGATCTCCTGGACCAGCTCTAAATTGTTGTCCCTCACGGCTTCCAGCTTTGTCTCTTCCAGTCGCTCGTGAGCCTGCAGGGAGGGTGGGTGGCGAGAGGGGGAAGGCGGGAGGATTAGTGGCACACATAAACAAGCAAAGCCCCACTAACCCTCTGCCCTTCCAACACGAGCTCAGGGTTGTAGCCAGGGATGCTGGAGACCTGCAGATAAATGCTGAGGGCAGGGCTGTTTCTATGGATTCCCTAAAAAGGCAAGACCATGTGCTCCAAGTTAAAAGGGGGGAAAAGTACATGGGGCTTGAATCTCTCTCCAAATTTAAATAGCACTGGCTGGCTGCCAGCTTGGAACAACTCGTCAGCTCTTTATAAAGCTGGAAGGAAGGAAGGAAGGAAGGAAGGAAGGAAGGAAGGAAGGAAGGAAGACAGAAAGACAAAGACAGAAAGACAAAGACAGACAGACAGACAGACAGACAGACAGACAGAAAGAAACACAGGGTTGAGTTGTGAAGAGCACAAAGGAAAAGGATCTGAACAATGGCGTGCACAAGCGCACGCGTCGCAGGCTCAGATACCCAGTAAGGAGCCTTCTCAAGCAGATCAGAGCCTTCCCCGGCCTTCAGTGGAGCGTAGCCAGAAATCAAACAGGTCTTTGCCTGTAAGGAGATGAATAGCTGCTCTGGATGAGCCTCAAGGAGGGAGGCCGACACAAAAGAGATGGAGCTAAAAATAATAGACTCTCAAATAGAAGCTAATCTTTACTCACTGCAGTTGGCAGAGGAAAAATGTGGAGGGAAGTCTTAATATGACTCAGTTCTGGATCCTATTTTCACTGCCAGGGCCAGAAACTGCTGAATTGGGACATGGATGCATTTACACTGATGTCTTTGACCGAAAAGGGAAACATCCCAAAATGCAAACCTTTAAGGGCTCATTTCCCTGGCCTATTTTACAGGGGTCATGTAGGCACAGATGGTACATGTGCCTCTTGTTCACTTTGGTCCCTCAAAGCAGGAAGCCCTATTACAGTCTTCCCCAACCCGGTGCCTTCCAGATATTTTAAATTATGGTTCCTATCAGCACCAGCAAGCTTGGCCAATGGTCAGGGATGATGGACCTTGTAGTCCAAACATCTCAGGGGAATCAGATTTGAGGAAGAATTCATTGCCTCTTCAGCTGCTATCATATAGGCTGCTCAAACTAAATGAAATGAGACATGTGGAAATCTCTGTTGTTTAAGTTAAAACAAATAAACCAGGAAAAAGTTGCTTTTTTCTCACGATCGGGATCAGAGGTGCAGAATAGGGATATGTAAGAAGTGGGCTCCAGTTTGTAAATCAAAGAGGGTCCCATCTGCAACTCGGAATATAAATGCAAGCAGGAGCACAATTCTTCAGGATTTTTGGGTTCACATTCAAAACCATGTCCTTGTGCCAGTGCATCTGTCTTGCTCCAGCCATACATTATTTACACATACTATCGTATGTGGGAGAATGAGCAATTTAAGTGCACCATTTCAAAACTGCATTTTATCTGTTAGGAAAAGAAGATGCTTGTATTTGAGGATGAAGACCAGGCAAACAGAGCTTCAAGTAGAAAGTTGGTGCATGTCAGAAAGAAACAGGGGGTGCTTAAGTCCTCCTTACCCTACCATTTCTCCAGTCAAAAATCTTACTATTCCAAGCTGCTTTCCCACCTGTGCGTGTGGGGAGGGGAAGCAGTGGGGTTCCCCCAATATATTTTTCCTTGCAAACAGGTAAGAAACTTGGGGAGAGTGATCTTAAACTGAAAAAAATTACAGGAAGGAATGAATGAAGCAGTTCTTATCCCTCTTTTACCCCTCTAACTGCCACTAGCAACTGACTTGCAGAAAGGCCAAAACAAACAAGCAGAAAGCAAACAAGCAAATCAAACCACAACTGAACCACAACTGTGCATGTTGGCTAGTTTGGCTACTCTGGATAGGGAGGTTCAGAGAAATTCCATGCAATTGTTTTTGTTATTTGATTAGGATCTCATTTTATATTCTGAAAACATTTGGTTAAAGATCCTGCCAACACATTACATTTCCTTTGTCAAAACTAGTAGTTAATCTTGGCTCTGAGTCAAGGTTCCCCCAGAGGGAGACAGAGATCATGTGGCAGCATTTCCACTGCCCTTACCTGGAAGCAAGAACTCCCAGCTGCCCTTTCTCTGTGGTTTGCTTACCTCTACTTTTATTATCTTTCTTCCAGTGGCTACTTTTCATTAGCAATTGGAAGAGAGAATCGAGGCAGTTAACTACCAGCCCCAAAACAGGCAGAAGTAATCATGGAGGATGGAAAACTAGCCAGCAATTCCTGCTTTCCTGTGCCTAGGTAGTGCAACACTCCATCTTCCTGCCACCAGAGCGGCCTCAATATCAAGAAACCAGCTTACATGTGGCTACCTAGAGCATTACATGAAGCCGGACTTGAAGCTTCCTTGCAGCCCCTAAAGGCCGTTAGCCTGGGCAGCACCCTTCGAATTTGCATGGAAGTTCGCTCAGTGAAATATTGGCAGCTCCAATACTCCAGATTCAGGACTCAGAATAAGCTCAAGTTCAGCACAGCAAAGGGAAGTAATAGCCTAGAAACTGAGAGCCAAACTTCACTTTACGCTGCTTAAGTGGTGTGTAGCTGAGGATTAGCTTTTGTTTACTCTTGCACTGGTGCATGCAGACTCAATTTGGATTGGGACTGCCACCCACTGAAGGACAAAATTTAATCAACAGCATTAATCTGCATATTTGAGAAAAATAATATACAAAATTCCTATGTTGGATAGGGATTTCAGAGAAATCTGTAACAGATTCAACTAAGTTAGGATTTCTATGAATCTGACCTGCAGATTCTGGCTTTTTCTGAGTCAGGTAGATTCTGTAGACTTGCAGAATTTTTTGGTTTTGGTTTTAACTTTTGGGGGAATTGATGCAAAGTTGCACTGGCAATAATGCATGTAGCATGAAATTATCATACATAACTGAAAAAATCCAATTCAATAAATGAGTGGACAATAGAACAAAAGATGCCCAACAATCTGCAAAACACAAATGGATTTAACAAAATCCAAAATCTGCAAATATATAATAATTGGCATATAAGTGGTTGTGTTTAGCATTGCAGTGAGAATTATGAGGCAGTTCTGCACTTAAAGTTCTACTGAAACGCACCCAGCTGTTTGTGTACAGGGTTATAGCCACAATATTTGATAAAAGTGGGGAAATATTATTATAGCTATTAATAGGGTGATAAACAATTATTGTTCTTTTGTAAACCACCTTAAACACTCTGCAGAAAAGCAGTGCAATTAGAATATCAAGATTTAGAGGGATCCTTATTAACTATTTAGTCTTCAACAATATAATAAAACACTATTAAAAAGATATTAAACTACTTTTTAAGAATATGGTCAGAATTTGGAATAAATATAGGGACATATGTATCCCATTGATTTCACCGTTATGTCCAATTTTGGAATTAGAAAATTCCCCAAGAATTTGAGGAGTAGTTTTAGGGAAGTACTGAAGAGTAAACATGTTATTAGGTCGAAAAATTGGTTAGTGAAGAGTAAAGAAATGATACAAGCAATACTGGGACAGAGAAAAGTAACTTGGTATAATATACTTCTATTAGATCATTGAATTAAAGATTGGTTGAAGAAAAATGGCAAATGTAGAGAATATACTAGATTTGCAGATACAATTTTACAGAACGAAAAACAAGATAATATGTGGATAAGAGGAATGACAAGTAAAATTTATAACATATTACTAGAAGGGGAGGACCGATATGATCCTCTTAAAGAGTCTTGGGAAATATATTTAAAAATATTACTACTGAAGTATGGAATAATATGTGGGATAAGAGATTTTAAAATTTATCTCGATAAGAATTAAAGAGATTTTTTGATAAATTAGTTTGGAAATGGTACTTAACTCTGGTTAAACTGAATTATATGAATAATGAATATTCTAATGTATTTTGTAATATGTACCCCTTCCTGGTTGGAGATGCAACCATGAAGTGGATACATATTTCCGTATGTGGTGAGAATGTAAATATATAAATGAGTTTTGGGAAGTGGTTTTCACAGAAATTAGTAAAATATTGAATTTAAACATTGAAGCAGACCCTGGACTAGCATTCTTGACATAATTTGGGGAACAAGTGGGACAAAAGACTAAAGAATTGATGACAAATTTATTAGCAGTATAAGATTAATAATAGCAAGGAATTGGAAAATAAATGGGGATTATCAAATAGATGACTGGTTTAAAGAAGTTTGGAATATAGCTACTAAGTTAACTTGCAATATTAAATGGAAAAAAGGTTTGATAAGTAAAAACACTTTTTAAAATATTTGAAGACCATTTATTGAACATCGTCCTAATAAGAGAAAAGGGGTGTGAACTATCAAAAGTGTCGGCACAGTTCTGGAAGGGCAGTGGGGCAACCGGAATGAATGCATGAGCTTACATTAAGTGGCAGGATCTGTTGGTCCTGGTGGAGGTAGCACTCCTATTAATGTATCGTTTCATTATGTTTATTAGTAGCATTTAATTATGTTCATCACTATTATATTGTATTGTTTATGCATACCCAATGAATAAAATTAAAAAAGAGAAAAGCAGTGCATGGATCTTTTAAGTACGACAAAACAAGCATAATACATCGATATCCTGTTTTCTGCCTCCCATTGAGACATCCATTCATCACCCAAAATGAAAACTAATAAACATAGACAAAACTGCAAATACAAACAAGAAGCAGAGGATAGCAGGCAATACACGAAACTATGTAATAGGAGAGAGTCAGGGAAGAATGGTCAGTTGATAAGAAAAGGCATATATATATATGTGCACGCGCGCGCGCGCACACACACACACACACACACACACACAGGCACAGGTGGCAGATACTGGCAGTCCCCGGACTGCTTTTCCTGGGTCTGCTCTCCTCTGAGAGAGAGCTGTGTGTGCCGCACGGCCCGCCTTGCCTCTCCTGAGGTTCTGCCAGCTGATTGGCTTGTCCTGCACCTGCTGCCCCAGGTGTGTTGCAAACGGCTTCCGTGACTGGCACTGAAGTAAGCCTCAACTGGCAGTCCAGTCAGCCTCCCTGCATGGAACAGGCACCGCCTTGTACTCTGCCTGTGCGAAACGGACACTGCCTCCTTCTTCACACCACCTTGTTCGTGGGACAGCCCCAACACTGATGTCAACTAGTCTCTGCCTGTATTAGAGAGCTGGACACCTTACAAGATTTCATATTTGCAGCCATCTCAAACCAAAACTATCCAGGGAGACCTGCAATGTTTAAAGCTGACTGATTCCCAAGGGAAGTCCTACGCTCTCAAAAGGAAGCTTGAATTTTTATATCGGATCTTCTCCGGGGCAAGAGAAAGCCATTCTTCCTGCACGTACTTAGCAGTGGTTTACATGCCCCTGGCCTGTGCTCCACATTCAGATACAGGAGCCCTTCATACAGGAAAGTATATAGGAAAAAACAGGTATGTTTACCAAGATGTTGAAGTTCATTGTTTGGTGAAACACAATCCAAGAAACTCAGTCTACATGGACTCTGCACCTTTGGAGAGAAGGCAGGTGATGGAGAGAAACAGCCGATGCTTGACTGCTAAATATGAAATATATGCCACCCTTACAGCTTCAGCTATAGGACAACTTAAATCAAACTTAGATGGAGCACATCTGGACATTATGAGTACAAAGAGATCATTAAATTTTAAGGCAGGGCATGAATCAATTGCCTGAAATAACACAGGGGAAGCATTTGGACGAAAAACTAGAACAGATGTCCTAAGCATGAGGCCCTTTGCTAACAGAGCCAGCCAGAACAGAGATTGTGGGATCTCCATCCACGGAGACCCACGTGTCTTAAGTATCAGATGTCCTGCTCTGGGGAGGATCTGGAATGGCACTTGGCACTTGTCCAAAGGTACTTGACACTCATCCAACTGCTTTCTCTTGTTTAATATTTTTTTCATGCTGAGACTGGCACTGAGAGCTGGTGAGCCTTTGCTGAAATCAAGATCTGGAGGATACAGCAAGTGTACATGGGACCATGTCATCAGAGGCTACCCCAAATGAATGGAAGAAGTATGTGTGTATGTGTGTACATGCAAAAGTGGAGCTCTGGAAGCAGGGATAATATCTCACAACTCCTTCCAGTAAAGAAGAAGGAAGGAAAGCATTGAATAGCTTAACAGGTAAACTACTTGGCGCTTTAGGGACAAGACTGACTAATGCAGTGGAACTGGGTCGGATTGAAGATGAAGAAGGTTCAGTTCAGCTACTGCCCGTTATCCAGCTACCCCAGTTAACTGTACCTTAGCCAAGGATCTTACTATTGGACTCTCCATGAGGCCACGGAGAAAGATGAGATCCAGATCTCCTGCTCCCATCGAGTTGGGGAGGTCACTGAGGTTGTCCAAGACCTGTTGCATGGCTGCATAGAGAAAGAAAGAAAGGGTGCATTTATTTATTAAAAGCATTGTTATGCTGCTTCTCTGCCAAAATGGCTCCCAGAGCAGCTTACACACACTCAGTTAAACAAGCCAGCTCCTGCACACAGGTTCGCAGCCTAAAAATACACATAATTTTTGCTTATGATGATCTAATTTATTGTTGTAAGCCACCCCAAGGCTTCGGCGAATGGGGCGGCATAAAAATGTTTTAATAAATAAATAAATAAACACGCAAGGAAAAATGAATGTGGAGGGAAGAGGAGGGAAATAATTATTTCCACAGGGTTATCTTCCCTCAATGTAACCTTCCGGAATGGCTGGTGGTAGCTGAGGAAGACAGCCATTTGGGCTAAAGGGGCAGGATACACTGTAAATCTAATAAAGGAAGGAAGGAAGGAAGGAAGGAAGGAAGGAAGGAAGGAAGGAAGGAAGGAAGGAAGGAGGGTTATATTGAAAGGAAGCCTTATATTGGCCATACTAAAAAAAAGGGAGGGCAGATGTGGTCCACATAGCCTGCCTCCCTTCGACCTACCCCATGGAGGAAAGGGGGGAATTAAAAACAGGAGACCAGCAGAAGAATGCAACACGGTGTAATAAGATATAAGAACAAAACATCAAAGAAGAAACACAAAAGGACAAAGAGAAGAAGGCAGAGCAGAGAAGAGGAATTGCAGCAGAACACTAGTAACATATGAAGCAGCTCTCTAGGCCACCCGGATGTTTTGGATTACAACTCCCATCAGCCATAAGTGATGGGAGCTGTAGTCCAAAGCATCTGGAGAGAGCCAGTTTGAGGAAGTTAATGTACAGTTGCTGCTTACCACATGCATGTGAAGTCTCAAGGATATTTTATGTTATAGGTGACTTCTCTTCCTCTTAGTGACAAATATTCAGCCTATCACTAACCCAAAGGTTCACTGAAAGAGGCATCCAATACTGTAAAACAATTATTTTGGAAAACGAGGTATCTTTAGGAAGCCAAAGCACTTAATCTTTACCACAGGGATAGGCAATCCCGTGCCCCCCAAATGTATTAGCCTACAGCCCCATCATCCATGCTGGCTGGGGTTAACGTGAGTTGTAGTTCGAAGCATCTGGAGGGACCTAGGTTGCCTGCCCATGATTTAAACAGCGCTCAAAGAATGCGCATTAATTGCAAGATTAAAGCTTGGAAAGAAAGGTTCCTCCAAGAAGCCAAGGAATGACTGATATTGCATTTAACAGATGCATTTCTTGGAGGAAGTTGGCATATCTGTGCAACTGACTCAGTGCTATGCCCTTTGTTTCAGAGCCAACAATTCTTTGAGAAGATGTTAAGTCATGAATAAGACCTTCCTGGATTGGATTCCCAGATGAATCAACAAAAGCAGCGAGCCTACTTCTTTTGCACAAGCCAGCAAAAGCTGACATTTCCCCTGAAACATGCAATTCTGGAGTGCCTGGCTCATGTGCATATGCAGAACACCTGGACTGGGCATGGCAGAGCCCCATGGACATCTGCTTCATTCCCCAGCTGTCAATTTCATCAGTACAGGATGCGGCCAGCCTCCGGCTTCCAGGCAGTCCATGGGCAGTGAGAAGCCTTCAGAAGAGGCCAGAGAAATGGGGCCACTAACAGCCACCTTCCACCCAGGCACCAACTGCCGATAGTCCTGAAGCATCCCCAGAGACACTTCTGTTCTTCATCTCTGCTCAGGGCCACCCTACTACTGGGCAGAGTGACGAGGTGTCCTCAGTGGCAGATCCTGTGAAGGGCGTCAAGGTGCTGGAGGGCAGAGCTGTTTGGGTACCACTCGGCCTGCCCTGCATCCCCCAAGCTGCCTGGCTCTCCTCAAGTGCAAGAGAGGCAACCAGTGTTGAAGGAAGGGTGGATTGCTGGCTTGGTCAGCTTCTGTACATGGCTGGGAGGGGGCATGATGGTGTCCTTCACCTCCAGTAGCAAAATGCCTCAGGGCAGCCCTGTCTCTCTTCAGTTTGCCCCTCTTTTAGTTGCGATTTGTCCCTAGGAGTTGTGAAGGGAAAGAGCAGAGACGACAAAAGGAGAAGGGCAGCCAATGCCATTTTTGCCTGTACTGTCTCCTCTTCCTATCTTCTGGGGAGTTTCAGAGCTCTCAGCTCAGTCTATACATGTGACGTGGGGAGATGGTAGAAACCCAGAAGAGCGCCACTTGTATCATTTCAGGCTGCAGGAGCAGCTACTGCCTTTCAAAATCCTTTCCTTCCCACAGTGTATAAATTATAGCATCTGGGAGAAAGGCTCTGGAAGCTTAAAAACATTTTAAAACATTTTAAAAATGTGTTACTCCACTTGTAATCTGAAGGGGAACAATCCATTCTAATTCCAGAAGACTTGAGCATCTCAAAATTCGTCGTGGGTAGACCAGGCCAGTTCTACTTTGGAGAAGATCCTTGTCTTGACTATCTCTCCACATACTGACAGAAGGCCTGTTCCCATCCCATTTTTCTCTTTCTTCTCTTTTTCATTTATGTTGCCTCTACGGGCAGGTGGGGAACCTTACTGAGGGAAAGAAGGACAACAATGATGAGATGGTGACATTGCTTCGAAGAGCACCTGTGGCCAGACACTGTAATTCTCCACAAGGCCCTGGGCAACATTAAGAAGCATTGCTTGGGGAATTGTGGGTAATTATGATGGCAGCCACTATTTGGGAATGCCACTTCCTGGAGCTGAACCCGCTAGTTTTGAAATGTGGAATGTGGCTCAGTTTTCGGACTGCATGACAAAGCTCAAACCTCTTTTCCCCTGGCTCAGCTCAGAGAACTTCAGAACTGAAGACAAAGACCATGTATGTGTGCGGAAGGCAGAAGAATTCATCACAACAAAGGCAATGACTGAAAAATTCCGCTCCCACAAAAAAACAAGCTTTTATGGAGGCTGGACGCCAGGGAGTAAGAAGCACACCTGCACTTTTAATCTGTATCTTCCAACATTTTCCACAAGATAATGGCACATTCAGGGCAATCCGATGGCCTCCCAACATTGTTCCTGTGACCTCACGGCTGCGACTCCAAAGCTGAGTTCCACCTACCCTTCAGCCACCACAAAAAGAACTGCTCCGACTTCCTCTGCTGGACGGCATGGGGGCCTCTGAGAGGAGGAAAAGGGGGTTGCCAGCAGGCAAGGCGGTGAAACGGACAGGGCTATCAACTCCTGTCAATTCTTGCCAGCACCCAGCTTCACTCCCTCCTTCCCGCCCTTCCTCAGCACTTTATCTCGATATCTAAACTGGCTCTCTAGGAAGGACACAGCGCAAGGCAGGGTGGAGGCACAGACGGCATTCCGAGTTGGGAGGTTTACATGCCTCAAGGTGGGAGCAGGAGAGACTGGATGTGTCTTGTTATACATCAAGCAAGTAAGGGGTCTGAATGAGCCAAAGGCCCTGCCCAGGACAGCAAAAGGATATTTTGAAAAAATCAACTTCAGGTTTTCCTAAAGCTCAGAAAGCACATTTTTTCACAACTACAGGCCATAAATTAAGAGCACAGACCTCAAAGAGCTGTCAAACCTGGTTCCCAGCTGGGTGGTGGGTAACGGCTAGCATTTGGTAAGAAATTTAGTACACTCCAGCAAGCAGCACATCGTGAGGAAAGAGAAACTGGACAGGTGAACCGGGTACAGTCATGTGCATAGGGCTGGGCACTGTGCGGCAAGTCCTCCCAGTTTCATTTGGCACTGTAGATACGGGCACCTCAGGCACTCCTTGGAGAAAGAGGCCACTGATCAGCTTGCACATCCCAGTGACAACAAAACGTGGGCCGTACGAGGCTCTCCTGCTGCGCCTGCCAAGAAGATGCTGCCTGGGCAGGCATATGTGAACAGAGGATGCCCTTCTCCTCTTGTCCCAAGCGGCTCATGGTGGCTATTACCTGCCAAATTTCTATGAGCCCAAGGAGACTCACCAAAGCATGATGGCGGCCTCCTGTACAAGATCTCAGCCTTGAACGTCTGACTGCTCCCATTGGAGCCTGCCCAGACTTTAAGAACTTCAAGAGAGGCTGTCCTTTTGGTCCCCCCCACTCCAGATCCAGGGTTGGTGGAGACTGCAGGGGGACCTTCTGGATTGATGTGTGCTCCTGGGCAGTGGAACCCCCATACAATAAAATATGCCTATTTTAATATTGATTTGTTTGATTGCTTGATTGATCTCCCACTTTTTTCTTATGAACTCAAACCACCTTACATAATTCTCCTCCTGTGGCTCTCAGTCTTACCCCCACAACAACTCAGTAAGCTAGGTTGGGCTGAGAGTCTGTGACTGGCCCAAAGATGGGTCCCTGGCCGAGCAGGGACTAGAACCCAGGTCGCCTGAGTCCCAGTCCTGCACTCTTAAGCGCTACGCCACACTGGCTCTCCGCTTGTTTTATGATGGCTTTAACCAATGTTTATGCTAACATTTTGATACATGTTCATTTTAGCTGCTTTGTGAGTCCCATTTTCTTGGTGAAAAGGTGGTATCTAACACAAATGAATATGTTCCATACTTTACAGGAGTGATTTGGCAAGGGAAAATGGAGAGATGAATGGCCATTGAATTTATCTTATGTACATCCGATCTTCACAAGGCATGCTGATTGTGTGACATAAACTATTGTAGACTAGAGACCACTTCATCAGATGCATAAAGTGCACCTTCAGCAGGCAGGGTAGAAATTTATGCCACAGTAAGTCCATTCATCTTTAAGGTGTCAAAAAATTCCTTTATGTTTTTGCAGCTGAGCAACTAGAATACATCCAGCTCTCAGACTCTCTCCCTCTCCCTTCACACTGGCTGTTACGTTTTTCGTGTTGGGTAGACCAGTATTTCATGGCTTCCCCTTAATATTGCTCAATATTGCACCCTCTGTTAGGACACGCAGTAGTGATCTGGGAGGCCACAGTTCTCCTGTGGTCCCTAGTTCCACAGCAAATATTTCCTACCTTCTCTGTGTACGTCTAATTCCTGGGGGGAAACTGGAATCT